ATAATCACAATTCTTTGCCAGTATCATTCCATTACTTCTCTTAGCAGTTCACTGATATATTCTGAATCCAGCAAATTTAAGCGGTTGTCATCAGAAATGTGGCAGATATCAGTCCAATCTTCAACACTTTACTTCTATTCACTGACTTTGTTGGCAATTTTAACTCGAGCCAAAAATGAGGTAGATTCTGTTCTTATGAGTAGTTATTCATATGCTAAATAGCTAAAAGTTTACATATAAAATTTCAGACAACGGAGAGAATAAATATAAACGACAGACAGATAGCAAGAAGTGATGATTCTGATTTTATTGCTAAAAGGTTAAGAGAGGCTTTAAGTGTTGGAAGAGCAACAGTGAGTGAGACTGCTGAGGAACTGACCACAGCGACGAATCCCAACGGAAACAATATACAGCGTTCATTATCTCAAGGAAATGGACGGAGACAGATTTACAATGATCCATCAGCTGATCTCCCATCACATCGTCATAACAGTTACGATTACAATCTCAGTCAAATTGCTGAAAAAAATTTCCACTCAACTAATTTGCCAGAATCAGTTTTTCCAATTTTTCTTTCCACCTTTTGGCAAATTTATGAAAACTATACTACTGCTATAGCGAACTCACAAAACTCGATTGCAGAGGAAAATGTAGCAAGAACCACTCAAAGCTCACCAGTGCAAGCACTGATTTCATATTATGGATATAAATTAGCAAATTTCAATGAAGCGGTAAGAATTTTTGAGTCCTCCATTGTCAGAGGAAACTATTAGGAGCAGTGAAAGGTCGGGTATTTGTCTGCTGACATGTTATGAGAATCCGAACAGAAAATTTTCCATCTAGAATTCGTTGACATAATCAAGTATTGTAAAGTTTTGCAATTAATTTAGAGCTAACAAACGTAGATTGATATAGTAGAAAGTATGTTTGCAATCACTTTCAGTTCAAAGTACGGCAATTGCATTATTTTCATAGATTTGATAAAATATTTGTATTCGCTAAGCAAATTATGAAAGCATAGATTGTGCGCTGTTTCAGTGCGCAATATTTCTGCTCGAATCAAAATATAAAGAGAATACTATTCAAAAAATGTTTTGCAATTGAAAAAATTTGATTTTTAAGGAACAGATTGTGTTGTGAGAAGAAAATATTGCCTTTTAAATGCCATACTCTAATTTCAGTTTTCTAAATATTAGAAACTACTTACAGGGCAAAATGATTAGCACCAACACGCAGTCATTTCAGTCTGAGATACAGGAAAGGTGCATGAGAAGTCTCAACTATGAGAAGGCTATTGAGAAAAAACGGTTTCAATGTCCTGTTTGTGAGCAAGGATTTCAGTACCAATGTAGGTTGAATATGCATATAAAAATTCACGCTGGAGTAAGACCTAACCAGTGTCGAGTGTGCAACAGGAATTTTTCTCGGGTATCTACGTTGAGGCTTCATGAAAGAATCCACGCTGGTGAAAGGCCTTATCAGTGTCGAGTGTGCAACAAGAAGTTTTCTCAATCAGCCACTTTGAAGATTCATGCAAGAGTTCACACTGGAGAAAAGCCTTATCCGTGCAGCATTTGTGCAAAGAAATTTGCTTCATTGAGCAATTTGAAAACGCACGGAAAAGTTCATTCAGGTGAAAAGCCTTACCAGTGTCGAGTGTGCAACAAGAATTTCACTTGGTCTTGTAAATTGAAGATTCATGAAAGAGTTCA